TATATATATATATATATATATATATGTGTAATAATCAAACTGTGAAAACAAAAATTAGACATTAGTATGCACACACAAATATGGTCTTACAGGTAGTCAAGGTTATGGTTTTTCTATGTATTTCAAAGGCCAGTGTCAAAAAGATTCATAAGAAATCCATGCATTAATGACCTACAGCAGAGCCATGAATACCAAGCTTTAAATTATTTCTTACGAAACTGTCAAGCCACTTTACTACTGGAAAGCCCAAGGCTGAGAGTTTCTTTCAAAAGAAGCTAAAAATAACAATCTTAGGTTATAGCAGGTCAAGTAAAAACAAATGCTTACATCAAAAGAACATGTTGGCCAAAGCCTGCATGAAGGAAAGGGGAGAAAAACTTTTTCATACACATTAGTGGCAGGAGACACTGTAGTGGTGAGGTAAAAGAGATCAACAAAGCTCTAATATTTTCACTCTGGAACCCTACAGACTTACCCAGATATAAGGATCATTCATCACGTCTAAGTGTTGTAATTGTACCATCATAAGGAACTTCTTTTTCAAATGTCTTTTAAAACCTGTAGTAAATAAAAGAAACAAACACCAACTGTCATCACACATTCTCACAAGATATGCAAGTAATATCAGCTGCTTCAGAACAAAAAGATGATCTATCTCCAGAGCAGATTCATAGAGTTTTATACAAGATTGAACAATGGTAACTTTGTCTAGAAAAATTCAAGTCATCCACAGACCATGCAATAAAAACTCTCCCAACACTTCCCATGGCCTAAATGATATCATCCACATCAGTGAAAGCCATGTTCCAGTCATGTGGAAGTGCCCATTTCTTCTTCTTCTTAGTTTCTGTCGTTCCTAGTGGAACATAGGGCTACAACAACACTTCGCCGATGGAAGTGTTGTTGCAGTTTCTGTAGCAGATTGTTATCGGGGTGGAGTTGCTAGTCCCACGCCCAAGTGCCCTTTTAGCATACCTAAAATAATAAAGACTGCTAATGGACCACCAGTTAATAGCAAAATTTTTTAAAATTAGCTGACCAACTAGGTTTCTACCATAGGAGAATCACGTAGACTTACACATCATTCAACTTAAAACCAGAAACCTCAGACCATCAGTAAACAATCTTCATTGCTGATTTTCTGTGTACTTTGGACATTTTCACCAACTGCATTAAGATCTAAGCTTATGGTTAAGCCTTTTCTACAGATATCTGATCATAAGCCTTCTTAGTGATCCATTGAGGCAAGCCACCCCAAAATATTAATAATAAGCACCCTTATGCAACAAATTTAGTTCAATACTGGACTAACCATGAGGCAGCTGCCCCCACAAATATTTTGTTAACATTATTTATGAATACTGTGATATTCAATTTATATATTTATTTCTTATTTGAAAGTGCCTCCATAAAGATATTTACCTCAGGGCCTCCACACACCTTAATCTGACCCCGATTCAGTGTGACATAAATACCTTTTCAAAATATGCTGACAACAATGAAGAATTCCCTGATACGAATAAGGTACTTTTCTGACTCAGTTAGAAGTTCTTGTAAAACTTTATTTTAGATGTACCAAGGTACTAAAATATCAATCAAAGGAGCACTAAACTCATATCAAACAAGTGATAAAACTGACCATGTTTTTTTTGTATACGACCTTTTATTTAAAGATTATCATCAAAAAGCTAAAATATGACAGATTTTCTATTAAAAAAAACACACGGAAAGCTGATTAATATATATATATATATATATATGAAATAAAATACAAGTTGAAACTCTGTAAACATTCAGTACAGATACCATTTTTTGTATTTACATTTCACATTAAAAATAAAATAATTGTATAAATGTATTCCTTATTACACAAACGTATACATAAATTACAAAAAGCCCGAGAACCATAAAACCA